TTTAGCCAGATCTAGCTTGTTGATGGTGGGCTGGTTATTACCATGAACTTCCCGTTAAGTGTTGCCACGATTACGCCGATAACAGATGGTGTGAGCTATTCCGCTCGGAGTGAAGAAATGTTCTTTTTTTTCGAAAAATATCGACAATATAGAGGCCACTGAACAGATTGCAGCCGCCCAGGTTAATTCGAAGCTCATTGTTTTGAGGAATGATCGTTTGCATCAGAATCGTGGTTGAATTTAGCACTATAAGCGCCGCTTGTCATTATCCTTTTATTAAAACAGATAGTCGGTGTGGAAGATTTATTTTCTTTTACAAGACAGGCCTTGTTCTTCGCACGAAGAAAGGGCAATTGACATACTGTATCGTTGAGATCATTGAAGTGTGACACTGCGATTAATTTGAGGAGCCGAGTCAAAGCCATGGCGCTTTCTCCGATCCGTGGACAACCCACGTAGTGGATTTCTCGTTGCCGTGAATTTCGCACGGGAAAGCTTTTATATACGCATCCACATTGACATATACACAGAGGTCGGGTACGCCTGCCTCGCCCATGGGTGAAAGTGACAGCTTCTAACGTAACTAAACTACGTAAGCTCTGCAATTTCAGATGTGTCGTATATGTCGTATTTACGTTAGCAATTCTATTACTAGAGATATACAACTTACTTTTTCTGGCGCTCGGCTGGCAGACCAAATGTATCACCTACCTCTTTTCTTTCAAAGTTCTATCATTTTTATCAATATCGATCCTTCTGGACGTATAATTTTTTTACCATAACAACAAAGTGCAATGTGAATTTGGTACAATTGTACGGTATGATGCTCAACACAATTATACCAAATGTCTAAGAAGTAATACGGGATTAAAGCGCTAACCCTATTACACTTTCAACCACACCAGCATTCGCATTCTCTTTATCTCTTTTCCATTGCACAAAGTGATAGTTCGACGAGCTACTACTGAGCCTGGAGTCAGACTCCATCCTTTGTGTATTCTTATACCTGCTCCTTAGGTCATATTTTCCGCGTCACTCCTCTTTCGTGCACCTAAAGTATGGACGATCCCGCGGCCAAGGCGCAGTGTTGTGATCGACGCTCTAAATATGCTTTTCAGTGACGATGCAGAGGTATTTTTCGATGAGAATCGTCATTGTGTGCTCCGATTCCTGGCCGGACACATTCAATGACAAAAAAATCGCCGTTCACCCAGGAGGAGGCGCTCATTGCGCTTAGCCACTCACCGCTGCACGAGTCTTGTCTCTGAAAGTGGCTGTTTGCGCAGCAAAGGCTATCTAACGCACCAGCGACTTTAATCGTTTGATAAAGCATCACGTCAAGGCTAAAATACACCGCATTGACGCCATAATTGTCTAAGTCGTGTAGAGCACGAGAAATCCGATGTGGCGAACCACATTTGCAGCGGGGCTGCCGCAGCTCTTTGCTTAGCGGAAGCTAAGCTAAGGTCACCGACGTTACGTTCTTACAAGAACCAGTGCGAGTACAGAGAATCGCAATCCGCTGCCTCCTAGAGTTTTTAAAACCTTAATCTAGGTAAGTGAACTCATACGTTCAAAATTGGAGCTGTATTCAATTGTTTGTTGCGGCAGAGTCGCCAACTTAGTCTTCCTAACTAGTATAGTAATACTTAGTTACTACAGTGAAACCTAATTAATATGCATTACTACTGGCAATTCTGCTGCGTCGTGGCTTCTTGTTACGGTGTAACCACATCACTGTGTGATTACACAACTTCTTGGAACGACCTGCCCTTTCATAAAAGGGTACGTGTAACCTCGATACAACATTAAATACTTCTCGAGGATCAAGGGACGGTCTGGCCTGGCTAACTACTGGTACAAGTCTATTAAAACATATGGTGACTTGACCCGGCCCTCCCGAATTTTCTCAAATATAATGTCAAAATTCATGATGGAAGGGTGGACAGACTTTGACGGGATGAAAATAGCCTTAAGCTTGCCCTGAGATTGGCGCTATCGGGCCTGGATTGGCCATTCCATGTCGTCTGTGCCGCTTCAACCTTCACAATAATCAGTGTCGCTCTAAGCACATTCTACTGGTCCTGAATATATGATCGCTTTTGAGTCTTGCCAGTTAAAGCGGTGGAGAAGTACCATCTTGTC